ATTTTTGAAAAGATTTTATGCTACGTAGTTCAAATAAATATTAAAGTGGTGTACTGTATTATTGTTTATATTTTTTAATACAGTACACTTTATAAGAAATAAGTGTACTGTATTAATACATAATGCAAGTACAATACAGTACATATTGAGGCAACATACAGTTCGAAATTTCTACAGTCCGACTTTTCACCCACCCGGTATAAAAAATAATCCCTTAAACTTATTTTTGCTATAGTATTATATTAGTATCTAAAATAGCACTATCACGAAAACAATCAAATTAAATTCGATGTAAAATTTTCGATTTATTCTACAGTATAATCACAAAATTAAAAGGTCAAATTTGATTATGTGGTCATCGTAATATCACTAGCACTAGCGCTATTTAAAATACTTGAAGTTAGACGCTGATTATAACAAAGGGCCACAAATTTTCAGTTTGGTCCGTTTTTATTGCTCTTTCCAAATTAGGGAGACAATTATTTGATATGAAGTTATCGTTATTAATAGATTAAATGATATTCTTTAATTGGAGATCGGGGTAACATAACCTGCCCCAGATTTTCTATGCACTTATATTCTTAAAGTTCAAATCGGAGGAAATCGGGAAATCCACGTTTACATATAACGATAAATATAATGTTTTGGGAAACTTAATTTACCACTGTATATACTAAGCAAATTGATGTTTACTGTACTAAGAAATAAAATATTATTCATTGATCATACTGATCACCATTCTCACGTCATGTCACGCAACACTAAATTGAGCCATGCATTTCTTGAAAATTGCAACTTTCTCAAACGAATGCAGGAATGAAAAAAGTTTAATTTAATAACTATTCATGAATTGACGCGGGAAATAACGTGATCAGCGTTTCCTTTCTGGTCGGACAAAAGTTTATTTATTTTAGAAATTAATAAAAACCCCAATTTCAAATCCATTAAGCAATAATTGAATAACAGTTCCCAACCAATGGAAAAACAGTCAATTGAAGTAGAAAGTGCTCCAGAAATTCCGGGTGAAGGCAAGCCGAGGCGTAACGCTCTTTGTCCTGATAAATTACTTGTTTCTCCACCCGACGCAACTACTTTATATGAAAATTTTTTACATGGAATTAGGGAATCTGGTATGTGTAAATTTTGATGTTTTTTTTTGATTTAATAATTCAATCAATTATTCATTAATCATTGTCCGTTCTGTCTAATTGTTATAATCGATTATGTAAAAAGGTGGTGGTAATTTCTTAGGACGTCGACCTATCGTTAATGGTGTTGCTCAACCTTATGTTTGGCAAACTTATTCGGAAGTTCAAAAACGCGTTGCAAATTTTGGTTCAGGTTTATGTAAACTTGGCTTGAAATCTAAAAATATTCTTGGATTCTTTTCTATTAATACTCCTGAATATGTGAATTTTTATTTTCTTTCCTATAAATACTTTACAAATTTTATTTTCTTTATAAATAATCATTTATTAATTATCACAAATTAGGTTATCGCTGAACTTGCTTGCAACAAATATAATTTTGTGCCAGTACCACTTTATGATACTTTGGGTGCTGAATCACTTGAATATATTATCAATCAAACCGGAATGGAATTTGTGTTTACTACTGCTAATAAAGGTCGAACTCTTTTAGATATGAAAGAAACTCTACCAACTCTTAAATATCTTATCATCTCAGATGATACTGATCAGGATTTTATAGATTGCGCAAATGAATTAAAAGTTCAAGTTTTCAAATTCGATGTTGTAGAGAGTGATGGCGCAACTCACAAAGCTGAGGCAATCAATCCTAAACCTGAAGATATTGCTATCATTTGCTATACTAGTGGTACTACTGGAAAGCCTAAAGGTGTAATTTTGACTCACAAGAATATCATGTCTTTAGTTTGTAGTTTAATATTCCTTGCAAGTAAGGGAAAGATGACAAAAATTACTAAGAATGATGTACATATTTCGTATTTACCACTGGCTCATGTATTCGAAATAGCAAATGAAGCTACATTTATTTACGCTGGTGCTGCAATCGGGTTTTATCAAGGTGATACTTTGAAATTATTGGATGATATTGCTGAATTGAAGCCAACCATATTTATTTCTGTACCAAGATTACTTAATAGGGTATATGATAAAGTGTTTGCTTCAGTTAAAGGAAAAGGTGGTATAGCTCAATGGATGTTTACAACTGCATACAATGCCAAGAAAGCCGGTTTATTAAAAGGTCAGGTTGACCATTGGTTGTGGGATAAATTAGTTTTTGCTAATATACGAGAAAGACTCGGTGGTAGAGTTAAAGCAATTTTATCTGGTTCTGCTCCAATTTCTTCTGATGTGATGGATTTTTTGAGGATTTGTTTTTCAGCTGATGTTTATGAAGGATATGGTCAGACCGAAAATGCTGCTTGTTTAACAATTGTACGTATTACTTTCTATTTATTATATTAATTTAAGGGAGGTTAAAATTTTACGAATTTACTAGTTATTAATTAAATTTATTTAGTTGTATATATTAATATATAGTAATTATATAAAACTATATATAATTTGGCTAATTTACCTGTGTAAAATATGTGGGATTAAAACTTAAAACTGACCAAAATCAACTCTAATTACTAAAATAACGTTATATTCTTATTTAATCATAGTCACTGTGTGGTGATGTGCAATCAGGCCATATCGGACCACCACAAATATGTTGTGAAGTTAAGTTGGTAGATGTACCTGATATGAATTATTCATCAAAAGATAAACCGTATCCACGAGGTGAAATATGTGTTAGAGGCCATCCTGTATTTAAAGAATATTACAAAGAACCAGAAAAAACGAAGGAAACGATCGATAAGGATGGTTGGTGTCATACTGGTGATATTGGAATGTGGGATGAATTAGGTAGACTTAAAATTATTGATCGAGTTAAAAATATTTTCAAACTGGCTCAGGGTGAATATATTGCGCCTGAAAAGGTACGTTATGTTTTATTATTTTGTTTCATGTCATTTTTGTAAAATTCTTTATTTTTAATTTAAATTATCTATTATAGATTGAAAATGTTTACTGCAAACATGAATTAGTTGCTCAAGCATTTGTGTATGGTGAATCACTTCAAGCATCATTAGTTGCTATAATTGTACCAGATCGTGATGTTTTAATTCAGTGGGCCAAACAAAATAATTTGGAAAATTATTCATACGAAGAGTTATGCAAACTTCCACAGGTCAAGAATCATATACTTCAAACTATAGTTAAATATGGTAAAGCGAATGATTTGAAAGGATTTGAAAATGTAAAAAATATATATTTGACACCAGAGCAATTTAGTATACAAAATGATTTGTTAACACCCACTTTTAAACTGAAAAGGCATCTAGCTAAAATTAAGTTTCAAGAAGTAATTGAAAAGTTGTATTCTGAGATTTCTTAAACTTTGTTATGAGATTTATTAGCATGAAATTAATTAAATTTATGTTAATCACTATTTATATATTATATATTTATTAAAGCATCTATTAACGCACTCTTTTGCAGCAAATTTAGAAAGAGAATTTACCTTATTATTATTACAATTTTATTGAAAGAATTATCGGTTAATGTTTCTAATAAAGTTGTATGATGTTTTATCACCTATGTTGCATTATCTTAAAAACTGGCTAATTAATTAGTATGTGGTGCTCTGAGTAAAAACACTATGCCCCAAAATCTTCCCAAACCTTAATTCTAACTCTAAATTCTAACCCTAAACACTAACCCCGGTTGATCTTTAGTATAGGTGCGTTTATAACGAATCCATTTTGTTTACAAAACAAAATGTAAAAAACTCAAATAACAAATTTTAAAAAGTAAAAGTTAATATATTTTTAATATGTAATATAGTTTTTATTTTAAAATAATTTTATTAGATAATTTATACCAAATTTTAATATTGCCAGCTAGTAGGCTGCCGACTCGAGAATTAAGCCTTTCTAATACTGTATACTTCTTTATAATATTGAGTCTAAATATAGAATTTATAATCGATTTTCTTTATACGAGCCCTGCTTATAACGAACGAACTAAAAGGTTCGGAATAAACAACTTGCATTTATTACACCGGATATACAAACTTTAATAATTTGCTACACTGCATCCGAACCTAATTAGGTCAATAATACAGCCCATCACATATATTTTTTTTATATAAGAATATTCATATTAGAATCTAATCGTATAAGATCGTGCAAAGCTTAGCGTCACGTATTATATAGGCTTATTAATATAAAAACTCTCAAGGAATATTTTTATTAGATTACAGAAGGTAATTTCAAATGTTAATATTTTTGAGTTACAAATAATTTTCGAAAAAAATTTTAATTTTTATACCATATCCAACTAATTTCATGTGCTACATCTATAATATTTACGATGGTTGCCATTCTCTGTGTGGTGGAGATACCGATACAAAATCTTTTTGATCGTATAAAGTTCCAGAAGCATCATCATTAACAACCAATACTGGGCTTTCTTCCATTTCTGGTGGTATATATGTTGATGTTGGTTTTTTCGCAGATGCCAACTCTGTACCCTTTATTCCAAGTGTGTTGAGCATTGATGGCAAAGCACCAAGTCTCGCATAAAACATTTGTAATCTTAACCTTAAGCATTCAGCATAAAGGTCCGAGATAGAACGATTATTATATAAACCTTGACGAACATTACGTATAAAAACGTAAAATTCGCATACAGCAACCATACGATCGCGGCAATAACGGTCAATAAGCGACCAATCATCCAAATTAGTTATTCTGTATCTAAAGGCTAAGGGACCCATTCGGCCGCAACATTGGCAACCAATTCTTGTTGCAGATGAATTTCCAAATGCTCGATCCCATAGCATTGGTCTGGCCGCGCTAGCGCGAATAGGGGAATTTGGGTTAAGAGCTTGTTCTCGGTCAGCACCTGGAGGTGCTTCCTCTATAAAGCATGTGTTGGCAACGATGGCTTCAACTATTTTGCTTGAAAATACACGTGGATTATTACCGAATCTCATGCAAGGGGTAACATCTTCCTCTAGGCAATGACGCATGAAAGGAATAGTATGAATTTTTTGAAGTCGTGTGTTTGCACTCTGTTCGACAAAATCTTTAAATTCTGCTATTAAATCAGCGTCAATTCCAATACCATCTTCCCCCGTTGGGCCGGGTAAAGTTGCTGCCGCTTCAGGTGATTTTTCACGAAGTCCAAAAAGTTCAGCAAAATCAATGCTGGCTCTAAATGAAGGATCACTGAAGCTAGATCGTTCGCTTTCTGTCATTTGTGACTGTTGTTGAACCATTTGCTCCATTTTATGTCTCAATTCTGTTAATTGGGAACTTTCTGCTGCTAGACGCCCTTGTGTTTCTTCTAGTTGTTTCTTCAAAGTATTATATTGGACTTGTAATTCATGTCGTTGTTTTGCTTCAGATGCCACTAATTCGTTGGCATTTTCAAAAAGTTTTTGGGTTAACTCTTCCAACTCATTCTCCACCATGTCTTTGGAGTGTTGTAATTCTGCGACTTTTTCAATTTCATCTACATATTTGTCATTTAGAGAAGCCATGTCTTCTTTTAAAGAATTTAACTCATCAGTTTTTGAATCAATTTGATCTTCCAATTCTTCAATTCGCTTTTCTAAGTTATGAATTTGATCATTCTGTCGCTCCGCTTTATCAAATTCTTCCTTTATTCTATTATTAGCAACTTCTAAATCATCAAGCCCTTGCAATCGCTCCCTATTCAAATGTGCTAGTATTGGTATATTCCTGCCACAGTCACTGCAATTTGCAGTTCCTGATGTCACTTTGATGCTTTGACAATTGCAGTCTATTGAATTACCCTCAGTATCATCACACTCAGTCTCATTTTGATTTGTCGCTTCGACAAAAATGACGTCAGATACCTCTGGGAGCATGTTTTGTTTTATGAAGTTTTCCTCTTTTAAGAGTGTAATAACTTTTTCATAGTTAGACATGTAAATGTTCTTAATCGAATCTATACTATATATATGTTGTAAGTGGGAACGGAACTAAAATTGATTTGGGATCAGGGTTGCCAAGTTTATCGGGTAATTTACCGAATGTGTGGTAAATTAAGCATAGCATAAGTTCATTTTGATTGGTTGTCAAAATACCTCGAAAAAAAACGTCGACCATACCCCGGATGTAGGGCCACCGAAAATCTGCGATAGCATAATATGCGCATAAACATGGATTTTATCGCATAGCATATGCGATAGCA